ACCCGTGGTTGCAGTACGTCAGCTATGCGGGCATGGAGGCGGTGCCCATTATCAGCCTGAGGGCGATCATGGTCCGAGGATGGGGCCTGGAGCACTGGCAAGTGGTCAGCGGTTTTCTGGTCACCGGCGCCTGGATTGCCGTCTTTATTTTGGCCTCGACGCTGGTGCTTAGGTTTAAAAAGTCTCTGTAACTTTTTTTTAAATTTTTTTTGACTACACAAGAAGAACACAAATCAAGAAAAAAGGGGAAAAATTTGGACCAGTTTTCCCCCTTATTGTACAAACTACGGTCCCTTATTTATTGCCATTTTTTCCTTTTCTATTTATTTTATTTATTTTGTTTTTTTATTTTTTTTGTACAAATATTAAACTTTTATCTTTTTACTAATTTTTTTGTGCATTTTAATTTTGACATTTTTAAAAATATATATTGCAGAACTCAGTTTTGTCTAATTTGGACCTTGCTCGGTGCACAAAACCTGACCGTTTGACAAACCAATTGTTATCTGTCAATTAAGTGATGCCAGACCTCTCTGCAATGGTCATTGCGCACTGCTAACCTATTAAATATAACTGACTCTTAATGGTACACTCGCCCTGATGTTAAATTAGACTTTTTAAAAAATGAGTTTTTGTAAACTCGTCCGTTATCAGTAGACTAGCTCTTTATCTTAATGTTAAGTTAAGGATATTGAAAGGAGTTTATGTAAACTTGCCCGCCTTGAGGCGGAGTCTCTGCTTTAGTAAATAAATGATATTGAAAGGAGTTTTCTTAAACTTAAACGCCTTTGTTGGACTATGGCTGTTATGTTAAATTTAAGTTAGGGTCAACACTAATCCTAGTTTTTGACTTTTAAGTAAAATTTTTTACATTTGTTTGTTAGATCTAATTTTAAACATATTAATTAAGTTTAGATTTAAAAATAATTTTTAATGCTGGTTTTTATCAAATGACGTCAATTATCGTTTTTGCTATTGGAACAAAAACTATAAAAAACATTTAAAATGTTGAGGTTTGTAAAATAAAGTCCATTTAGGCGCATTTGCCATTTTACCAACTTTCTTTTTGTTGGCAACAGGTAAAATGAAATCAAACCTCTACGTTTCAATGTACCAGAGTCGCAGTTTTCAACCACTTAATGCTGAAACTAAAAACGACAGTTCAATGAGAGACCAACTAAATCCATCGGCTGAATCGGGTTGTTTCTGGACCATAGAACTTAAGACCCGACAGACGAGAGCACCAGACCAGCCGACGGAAGGGTCCAGCAGTCAAGAGTGGGGTCGCATCATATCGAGAGGATGTTGATAGTTTTGGAGGAAAATGTCTAAAACTGGCAAAAAGAAGTAGGACACAAGTGAATAGACTTAGAATTGTGCTCACACAAAGTTTACAAATGTTTTTGTTATGTTGTAAATTTCCACAACGCCAATATTTTGTTTCATGGCACAGTTTAAGGCAAGACTCCGTCGAACTTTTTAATTTTACATGTCTCTAATAGTTTCCATGTAAAAACAACTTTTTACTCAAAAATTATCTCTTCCTAGGGTTTTGATCCAAAAATTCTGGTTTTGGTTTTAAAATAATCTTAAAGATATTATCTTGGACTGGATTGAGATTTTTAAAAAAATAATGTTTTGTTTTTTATTTGCATTAAGTTGAAGTTGAAAAAACAAGTTTTTTAACTTTAAACAACCATAGAAAAATCAAATGACATTATTTTTTGAAAAATCTCAATCCAGTCCAAGATAATATCTTTAAGATTATTTTAAAACCAAAACCAGAATTTTTGGATCAAAACCCTAGGAAGAGATAATTTTTGAGTGAAAAGTTGTTTTTACATGGAAACTATTAGAGACATGTAAAATTAAAAAGTTCGACGGAGTCTTGCCTTAAAGTTTTGTAAATATTTTAAAATGTTTAAAAATTTATTTGGTATTTTTTTTAATAAAAAAAGTTAATTAAGTTTTATTTAAATAAAAAAAATGTTAGTCAGTTTTACCAATCATCCAGATTGCACATCTGCAAACTGTACCTAAAAAGCTTCTCTGCATCTTCCTCATCAGTCGTGTGGGCGGGCATCTTGTGAACGCGTGTACAATTTCTGAAAACCAAAAAAGTTATCATTATCAAGCAGTTACGGGTACTACTTTAGCACAAAAAGTAAATCCGGCCTTTATCAAACTTCAATTAACCACAAAAATATTCTCCAGTCCACTTACTCATAGTAGTACCCACTTTCTGAGGACACTTCCGGTCCCTGAGAGAGGGCACAATGTAGGGAGGTTTGAGCACCTAAGTGGACGCTGATCGCAGTCCACCGTTGAAGCGAGGTGCTCAGGTAGGTGAACAGATCAAGGTGACGCTGCAGTTCGGTGATGATGACGCCAGGATGGACGGAGTACACGGAAACTCCCGAGGAAAACCTCTTTAGCCTTTTTGCGAGGGCCACTGTGAAGAGGTGATTTGCTAGTTTGCTCTGCGCATAGGTGGAGAAGGAGTCTTTTTGGGAGTGTTTAAAGTTAGATTCAAAATCCATTTGTCCTGCTAGCAGAGCAATGGAGGTGAGGTTGACGATTCGAGCATTTGGAGCGGCTTTCAACTTGTCAAGAAGAAGGTGCGTCAAGAGAAAGTGGCCCAGGTAGTTGGTGGCAAACTGGTATTCAAAACCATTGGCTGATTTCCAGCCATTGGGGCACATCATTACACCGCCATTGTTCAGCAGAACGTCCAAGTGATCGACTTTCTGGCAAACATCCGCTGCCGCTTCTCGAACAGATTCCAGTGAGGAGAGGTCGAGCTTAATGAAAATGACGTTTTTCCGCTTATCATCGCCAACTTCTTTGAGAAGTTCTTCAATGGCAGTTTTTGCTTTTGCCTCATCCCGACAGGCGATGATCACTTTGGTGGCGTTAAGTGCCAAAAAGTGCTTTGCGCACTCTTTTCCAATTCCCGAGTTGGCGCCGGTGATGAGAACGGTAAAGTTGGAAGATCCGGTTAGTGAAGTTGGAAGTTGGGTGGCAACTTTTCGACAGTCTTTTAGTCCCCAGTTTGTGAGCAGATTTTCAAGGGACTCAAGCTGAAGACGGACTAGAAAGTAGAGCCAGGCGTACAGGCGATAGAAGAAACCGTATTTGTTGGACATTGTTTTGCAAATAAAAAAGATGAGTTGAAGCTAAAATTGAGCTAAAAGTGAAGTGCAATTAAAAAAATGCGGTTCACATTTGTAAAATATAACTTTTTTCACATCAAAACAAAGTGGCAGTACTTTTTTTAGTTACCAACATTTATAAGCTAGTTTCATTTCATCAGATTAACTACGGCGCAGATCAAAGCTTTAAAAAACAGTGTGGAAATTGCAAAATGCAGTAAAAACGCATGAACTCATTTGTCTAGCTTTTTTGCTCACAAATACTTTTTCCTCTTTATTACACAACAAAACTGTATCAACAAAGCAAAAAACAAATGCAAAAATTATCCCAAACATTTTTCTTTAAATGTACTGCTCATCAATAATGTCCACCAGCTTGACGCTGATGTCCCACAGCTTGGAGGCGTTTTCTTCGTCCACGGCGTGCGGCCACATCTTCTGCACTCGGGTGCAATCTCTGCAAAAATTGGTTAAAAATTAGCATTTTTTTAACTCACAAAACAGAATCTTCAAAAAAATCACTCACGCATAGTAGAATCCACTCTGGTTGGCGGTGTCCTCGCTCAGGGCACAGTGCAGCGACGTCTGGGCGCCCAGGTCTGCCGTAATTGAGGTCAACTTGGTCATCGGCTTGACGAACTTTTGGGCAAATTCGCTAAAATGGCGGCCGAGCTCGGTTTGCACGACGCCCGGGTGGACCGAGTAGACGTTGA